AAAGTGCATCCATGTTGAAATGCTGGGTTAAAGTGTATATAAACATGACATACATATATGAGCTGTCTGTTGTATTCTGCTGAAAATATTAGCCTCCCAGCATGTTCATTATTTTCAACTTGTTGCAATATTGTGGATATAAATAAGAGTTAAATGTTATATATTTGCTTGGTATTCAAACCATTTGATTATAACTTTGGGGGGGAACATGTGCTTTGGACTCCTAACTGCGACAAGACCTTTATACAACCCATTTTGTAAATACTTTTTTCAGCTTTTGTAGGTGCAACTGTTTCTTGTTCATGGAAATTTATTTTTTAAGCATGTTCAAGGGACAGAGTAAAGATACTGGAAATTCACCATTTCCAAAACTGAGCAAATCCAGACAGTTTTATGTAAACCAGAGGAAAATTAGCTTAGGTATAAATTACATCTAGCAGTAGTCCTACAAATCGCAATTTGTTAATTTAATAAAAAACGTTTATGTCATTTTTATTGAAATATTGCCTCTCTTATTTGTATGTGTATTGTTAAGCGTGTGAAAGTCGTGACTACCGTAGTCTAGCGAGCCTCAACTTACAATGACTGCACAATACGCAAACCCTCCCGCAAAAGTATCCCATTACTGGCTATTGTTGTGTACACCAATCAGCAGCTCAAAGACCTAACAGTACATTGGCTATGTTTACTGGCTGGAATTAAGAGAAATAACATTAATGTTTGATACATTGTCAAAAGTGTTGAATATTCAGAATGCATGACGACACAATCCTGTAGCCAGTGTTTTTTTTAGTATTCAGCTATACTGTCAGCTGAGAAGTCTTAAAATAGAGTAACTGTGGCAGGAACACCTGAATAGGAGCATGTAATTACTGCAAGGCATAGAGAAGATGGGTCTATATCAGGCCATGGAGCTGTTATTGCAAGTTCAGTAAAAGCTCCTTAGCATGCTGAACTTCATCCTTTGCGTCACTATGGCCTTTGTTTTTTGTTGACACCAAAACACTATAAGTTAACATCCTGGCAATGTGCCCTAATATTTTGTGCTATTTATAACAATTGACTCGAGTACTCCAACGAGATTGATACCATAAATTACTTTTTTCTTACGAAGTGTGCAGGCCTTATGCAGTACACTCTGAAGAAAATGAACGGCCTTGATTTCTTTGTGTTTGCATGGCTTGAGGTGTCTTGTACCTAACAATGTGTGAAGCCAGAGGGTAAAAGAAAGGTCACCAAAGGTCATAGTATGTGGACGCGGGAAAACCAGCACATACATGAATTAGTTGTTCATACTGCTTTGTGTTTTAGAGTCGACTGGTTGTAAAAGCTTTTTTTGTTTCCATCAGTAAAGTAAATGATTAAGTCCTGATCAAGAAGAAATTATAATGGGAATCAATTATTATAATAAATACACCAAATCTAGGTAGATAAATGCCCTCTCATGGAGAAGATAAAATGGTGTTATCATTGATAGGTAGTTACACATTAATTTTCTGTGAAAATCTATACATTATGTAATACACAAAAACAAGCCTTTCTTTATGAAATTATGTTTATTAAAAATACAACTGAATTTAATTCATATAAACTTTTGTTCCATGACTTTTTTCCTCTTATTTCTTAATTACATTTACATGTGCTGCACTATGTATGTACTTATGAGCGACAAAAAGTGTAAATGAAAATATTTGAAATTGACAGATACAATAATACTGTGTGGTCAACAGTGTAGACGCATAAACCGTATTTGTTGCATTTAAGAAATATTAAATCAAAACAAATTGTGAAAGGTTACAAAAATGGACTTTGACATTCAAAAGGTCAATATTACTAGCTCAACCATCAATGAAAATCTCAGGGATTGAAAATACAGGACTTTGCGCGTTTCACAACTTGATTTGTTTAAAATAACAGTCCAAACACAAAAATGAAATTATCGAAAACCAAGTACGAGTATATATTCTGTAAGAGCCTATGAGTTTTCAAAATATACCAGTAATTTATACAAGTTATTTATTTACATATATCACATGTGATCTTTTATTTTAATTTTGTCTAGGATCTAGTCTAGACCAGAAAGATTTGATCCTAAGCGATATTCGTCGCGCCACGCATGCGCAAGATATATGGGTCTCATATAAACAAAGATGGCGACTTTGACTGTTGTGCAGACCAACAACTACAAACTGAGACGTTACCAAGCTTTAATTGGGTAATTTTTAGGCGATTGGAAGGTATCGAAGGAGTCACCGACTGTTATTAGTGCAAGTCGCGCCCAGGTCAAATCTCATACTTGCGATTTTCATTAGAAGAACGCACTGGATTATGGGAAAATCAATGTTTATCAACACAAATGTCGCACATGCACAGCGGGATGACCACCACCCTTTAATGTTCAAAATACATGTATAGTCATTTTCACTCCTGCTAAGGACTGCATTACCAACTGTGTTTGGAACAACTTCCCGTTGATAAACTAATCACGCTCTTTCTGAGGTCTTCCAAGTCCTGAATAATAAGTGTATACACTTCAATATTCCGAAACTATGACCATGAATTTCAGTCAGCAGTCAATGTGTCGCTTTGTTGGTGATGACTCTTCTAAATTATATTTATGAGTTCTGCATATGTTATTGTCCTCTTCTTTGCTGTCACCTTTTCGGAAGCGGTTTTCATATGGAGGCTTGTCAGATAGCGAGTCACGAACCTGTAACAACAAATGTTATGGATACAAATAAGAGATACTCGAGAAACTACTTGTTTACACTACCGGTAATCAATTAATTTACTGTTTTCCTTAACAACTCTAGATATAAGCTCATCTCCATATATAATACAAAAGTCTGGCACGTCTTGTGCAGTGCATCATGGGAAATGTTATTTAAAGTGCCCGTCATTATTCACCATACATACTAGCTATGTGTTGACAACTTAAAGGGTGGTGGTCGCGCCACGTCTATTCGGTATGGGATGTACACAATGCATAGTAATTACATTGTTTTTTTACATGATATTCGAACATGTGCTGTGTGACGACTATCACCCGTTTAAGTACACCATAACTGTCTGCCTTGAAAGATTGTTTTGTCACTGACAGTTTGGAAATAACACTTTGATTTGAATCAAACTGTGATTGACAGTCATTGTGAAGATCACATGGCTGTTTAAAACATGCCTTCTCATAAAATCTTGTTCAATTTGTAAACTTACTTTGAGAATTTATTCTATAAATATTCAGGATTGTATAGGACAAAAATATATTCCATGCATTATGATTATCAAAGGGAGGCTCATTTCGCGAGAACTCCTACCAGACACATGAACCTAGAAATACTATGCAGTATGATTTGCATATGCCTTGAGACATGGTTTTAGATCTTGCCTAACCTGTGTTTTAGGTATCTTTTACTGGTTTCATAACCAACTCCCCACAAACAAAGAATTTGCCTCCAGTCAATTGTTACCATAACATTGATTAATTGATTGATAAATATAACATACTGCCAATTTTCCGAACAATTGGATGACAGTTACTAGTATGTTATCCCCAGGCACTTGGTTGCTACAACAATGAACATGTGACTGCCCCATTCTTCATGATATATATTGCAATTAATTTCACTTGGTTAATTAATGAGCAAAATTTAGGGAGCACTTATTAAAAGTGGTTAACCAGCCGTTTGGCAATACGGTACGCAGGGGATTCTTGACAAGCATGCTGATTGGCCAGAAGGCGGTGACATTAAAGTGCACTTCAAAATCAAAATTCAGAATAAATGAATACACTGGCGCATGCAAGGTTGACTCAGAATTCTCAATCAATTGTTTACATAGGAAAGATGGCCAACTTCTTTTCGGTAATGCTTTGATACCATCTGAGTTAAACAATTTGTCAGGTGTACTGACTGACATTCAATTTAAATGTTAACATTAAGAAGTAACAAGTAACAAATGTTGATATACCGGTGAAAAACATGCACACTATGTAATGTATACAAATATTTGAGTGGAAAAGATTTCAGTGCATTATAATCACAGGGAGCAAAGGGAAGATATACTAGAAATGTTAAAAGTTGTGCAAGACGCTTGTTTAAAATAGACACACTGCTAATGCTGATAACAAAATTGATATACTGGTAGGACAATTCCCTCTGCTGATTGAAATTCAAGCATTTGTATTTAAATACTGGCAATGATTAAAAGATCACCCAGAAAACTGTCTTACTAAACAAATTTACTCGTATTAAACTTGTTTTTGAATGAAAACTTCAATTGGATTTCTACCAAATTTGCTATAAATAGTTATTTTGGATGTGTGCTTTGATACACCTACTGGTAGAAACTGAGATGTACATCCTAAATGCTAGATTTCATGTTACATTCATCACCCCAGACATCAATATCACTAATTTTATACTTTTTCTAATTCTTTATTTCTTTAATGTTAGTTTATGATTAATTTACATGCTTGATATAAGGTAAATTGCCTAATCTAAGTGGGAAATAAATTCCATACACACTGGTATTTTTTTTCAAGCTCCTCTACATTTTGTATCTCTTTAATTATTTAGTTTGATAGATAGCCCCCTGCATATGTAATACCATTTTTTAGCATTTTTGACCAATATTTTATTACTGACTTACTGTAAACCATTTATTTTACCAATCCAAGAAAAAAAGTTAAGCATGTTTGCCATAATGTGAAAATAGACAAAAATCCCATAAAATGGGATTAAATATCTTTCCCATAATTCCAAGTGCCCTTGAAATGAGTGGTGACATGAACAATACAATGATGAATGGATGAAATTTATCAGAACAGTTTTGACACAGTCTTCCTGGTATTTTTTCAAAGTGGTCTTCTATGATTGAGCTAAACACCAGACATCCAAAGAAAAGTGTATTACATTTGAAAGGAAAAAGCAATTTCATGCAATTGCAGAAGAAATAGTAACGACCTATTTAAATGCATCAAATTGAAGTTGGTGTGGTTAATAGTGTGAAGATTTACAGTCATTAATTTCATTAAGTAATAAAACAGACTGGGTTTCCATTGTCTGTAACCTTTGTGGTCAACAGTCAATATTCAACAAAACTGATACTGACCTAGATAACATTCAATAACAATCATTTGGAATTTACTAGTAATAGATGATTTTCCGTTCAAATGCGAGATCTCTCGAGTTGCATGAAAGACAAGCGCCGAACGTCTGCCACAAAAAATATATGATTTAATTTTAATTTTGAACTTGAATTTCTTTATTTCGTAGCTCACATCGAAAAGCCGATTTTTGACAGAGGAATATTGCGTTTGAATACCCTTACCCTTAACTTAATCGAAATTGCCCATCATCAAAGGTGCACATTATTAAGCGTGAAAATACCACCCAAAATACTTTCGCATTTGTTGAATCTCACACGAAGTTTGTCGCCACTACGACGCTATGACCTTTGTTTGTCTTGTATGTTCAATTTCATGCATAACGCGGGATCTCACAGCAAACGGTAAATGGTCTATTGATAGGAAACTATAACAGTGATAGATTATAGGCATGGTAAATTTCCCACCTGTGACAAATAAACACTATACAAACATGACTGATAATGTTATAATTACTAGATTGTGTAAAATATAATTTATGATTATAAAAGTATATAATATTAATATTAATATCAATGAACTTACCATTTCTACATGTCTGAATACTCTAAGTAAATTTAGACCAATCAATTTTTCAATGTCCTCTTGTTGCCAGCCTCGGTACAACATTTCAGCAACCAAGTTAGGAAATGTGGAAACATCTTCTAAACCAATTGGCAAACTGTAAGTATATACAAATCAGTGTTAATGACACAGTCCCTGTTGCAATTAGGGAGAATGTTATTTATGCCTAAGATAAAGTAATATGGCCAAAAAGCAAGATGGCTGCAAGTCTGTCATCTTTTATCTGATCACAAATTGAATTGATATTTGACATGTATTGCTACATACATTATATATGCAAATTTGATAAGCAAATCACTGGTCATGTCACCAGATAATTTTTTCTGAATGAATTTGTAATGCATGGTCAGTAATTGAGAGTGAATAACAGACTAATCTAGTATCAGCTAAAAACAGATTTATTAAATACCAAATTTCAAAAAAAAATGGCTGCCAGTCGGCCATCTTGCATTGAATCACTAAACCATTGCTGCACATGTCCTACATACAGCACTTGACACATGCATATAATTAACGAATTCAGCCCAGAGGGCTCTGTCTGACATAAGACACCAGACGTTGGAGACCGAAGTCCATGTTGGTCTCATATGTCACTAATTAACCTATCATCGTTCATAGCTGATATTATGGTTGTTGTTAGCCAATGAGTTTTCATTTAACTGTGTTTTATCTGAAATGCGATGTATGAGGGCATACTTCAATTACGTCACTTGTTAGATGTGTGTGTGTAGCTTTGTTTATTGACAAATACTGGTGACCTGTGGATCTGGCCAACTCTTGATTAGACACTTGCAAACTGGCTGCGTATCTGAGAATATTGAAGGTGGGAAATCTGTGTGTTTTGTTTACATTCATTTTGTAGGAGTTTGAACTGGCCAACATGTGTTTCTCTGGTCAGAATTCTATCACATACAATTTAAAACAATATTTTGATATTTGTAACCCCCTTTTTTTTTTTTTTGAGAAATTCAGCCAAATACTAACATTGTCGTCTATTGAGTTTTAATTAGTGGTATGAGCCCTGAAGCAACATTAGGAGCACCTGAGGTTGTTGTTTTGACTAGAATTATGGCTATATTCACTGGAGTTTAGCGATTTTTAGCAGATCTCATCTTACCTAACCAATGTTTACTTTGACCTAATTATTTGATTTGTTTGTTTTGACCTCTCTTATCCTTGCATAGACCTGATAATTACGGTCAATATTTTGTAATTTGGTAGATTTTTTGCCCTAATCTCATTAATTTGTTTTAGGTTTGGCTGTTATCTTAAATATAACTCTTTATACTGTTCTGATAAATTTGATTTATTCATCATTGAATTATTCATGTCACCACTCATTTCAATGTCACGTGGAATTCTGGGAAAGATATTTAACCACATTTTATGGGATTTTAGTCTTATTTTCACATGCTTAACAATCTGTAGTGCGGTCATTTCTAATTTACCCTATTCAATGTTTAATGAGGTAAAATTGTCAAATATTCAAATCCCTTCTTATATCAAGAGTGTTCGAGCTCCATAATGTCAGGATATTGCACAAGTAATACAACTCTTTCAGTTACACTATTATTGCTCTTTTCTCTGACATT